CTACATGGTATAAAAAAATAAAAAAGCAACTTAATAAAACTTATGGAATATATAACACATTTTTCTATAATAAATAATAATAAAAATCAATATCAAAGTTGTAAGTGATCCCGATGTTTATAAAACAACGATAAGAACATTTGGGAATTGGACTTGAACCGCCTAGCCTGCGACATTAATAATCCTTCGCTCCAATACGTTGAGTCGAGTCAAACAACTATTACTGTATTGCGTTATTTTATTATTATAGTTTTGTTCATCGAATTTCATACGGGGTGTTTCATTTATTTTATATTCCTCACAAAGTTTTCATCAGAAATGTCGTTTACATATATATTTTTGATTATAAGTAAAAAGTTAAAAAGTAGAAGTGACAATCTGTAATCTATACATGTATTATTAAACAATTATTAATTAATATCGCTCTGTATATAGACAGAAATGTAAAAATCGGGTATTCGCGCTATGAAACCTGCTCGAAATCGACTATCTCGTATTTCACAGTACCTTGTTGATGACAGTCTATAATTCATTACCTGTACAAATTCCTATATATTTTTATAGTCCACCAACCATCACCAACGAAAACGTGCCTGATTCAAAAGCGACAAATCCTTCTTCATCCTTACAAAACAGCTAATGTCACGTTTTAAAAATTTTAAATTTAATCCTATCAAAAGGTTCTAACAATTTAAATGTAAAAATATCAATTGCTTTCGTTGTAAAAGTTTGTATTGGTTGACACAGGATGTAACTAATGAAATTTGGAATAATTCTTTTGAATAACATTTGAAAACAAAGAAAAAATATTTTCAAGAGCAATTATTAATAAATACACTTATACCAATCAGGCCCGACGAGAGGGGGGTAGGGGGGACAAATTTATGTTTTATACAGGAGACTTTTAGTGAATTAAAAAGTAAAATTTGGAAAGCAATTTGAAAATTAAAAATTAATAATCTGCAAAATTAACGATATTATTTCATAAATCACAAGTATTTTGTTTTCGTAAATTTGCAAAGTGCAAAATCAAAAGTTTGCAAAGTAGTTACATGAAATAGGCCCCTGGTTTACTAAAAATACAAGGTGCGTTTCTATTCTTTTTTTTTTTTTTTAGATATCAGTAAGAAAGGATGTGAGATTGCTTGAGAACCTTTTGGGAAGAGTGAGAGGTATATATTCAATGGGCAAAAGTCAGAGATGAAATGTTAATTTTTCATTGTCGTGAAATAGAATTTCAAAGGGGATATTAAAGCATCATAGACGTAACTGTAGGGCTAAGGGGCATTGTGGAAATTGGAAGAGTTATTGCATCTATTCTACTAGACCATCGAGTATCCGATAAAGGTTTTAAAGTAAAATTTGTTACTTTAGATAAACTTGATTTCAGAATTGACTAGCGTTTAGTAGAAACTGAAAAAATACACACAATTCTTGAACTAAAAAAAAAAAAAAATGGATGCTCAAAGTATTTGATTTTGCGGCATCATTGACTACTAAATTTAGGCTATGGTTGCAACAAGAAACAAAGAAAGTTCGCGGATTCAAATCCAATTTTTTAGATGTTAATCTTAAACTCTTAAATAGGAAAAGGGGTCAAGTGTCGCATTATTTTAAAGGGTGTTTAATTCTCTTTTCAATGGTAACCTAATTTATATTATTTTCTGACTAGCAGGTTCCGAAAAATTGCGTTTTGAACGGTTTTTATGGTTTATTGATAAACGGATAGTCTAATATTATTTAGCCGTTTGTACAACAAGAAATCAATTGAAATGATTGTATTTTTTTATAATCAAGATTGGACTTCTCATTTTGATAATTTTAAGGTAAAAAAACAATTTTTAAGTATCAACGGATCCAAAATAGTTACGTGCAGTATGTTTCCAAGCATCTACAAGCATTCTATAATCAGCTAAAACACTCTCTAGGCGGCAACGGTTTGCGTCGATTTCGTCGCGCATCGCTTAAGCTCCGCCTTCGAAGGGAAAAGACGGTTTTGGTGTTCAGAAGCGTACTTAGGTAAGGTGTTGAGTCGTGCGTATAATTTCGTTGATTGTATAATTTCGTGGAGCCTATAATTTCGTTGATTGTATAATTTCGTGGAGCCTATAATTTCGTTGATTTTGTTTGAGTTAAAGGTACTGTTATTATTTTGGTGACTCTTTAGCTATGAGTAGAATGAGTGAAAAAAAGACATCATTCTGTTTGTGCAGTCAAAAGCTGTTTTAATAAGGGTTATACCTGCAAGAAAACATTCTTTAGTTTTCCCAAGGACCCAAACCGATAAGTACCACATTATAAGAAATTTTCATTGTTAAAAATATAATTTATACAGGGTATCCCATTAGTGCGTTATTGTTCATTATTTTGTTGTAGACACGCAAGAAAGTTTTAAATAAAAGTTATATGGATTTGAAAAATACCTACATATTTTTAAAATATCTTTGGATATAAAGGGTGTCACGTTTTTGCCTGGCAAATTAAAATGTATGTTTTTTAAATGGAACACCTTATATTTTATTTTATGATAAAATTATTAACATCCTAAATTATTGTAAAGACGAATTGATACAGAAAAATTTTATCAGGTATGTGTGTGGTTACCTTTTAATAAAAGCCTTGCGGATCCACTCCTCTGCGATACCTGTCTTAAATATAACAAAGATCACGTTGAATTAGATGATTTTTCTTTTTATTGCTTTTTAAAAGCATATGATAACGCCAATCCAGATACATTTGGAAATCTGCAACTGTCAAATGATGAATTTGTAGAACTAATATTCAATATTGAAAAGATATTTCAAAATAATTTTGAAGAATTGGCTACAAAAAATAACATTTGTGCCACACTTTTAGAATTAATTAACCCAATACCCTTTAGTCATCCATGCTAAGGTTTTCCAAAAGAATAACTTATTTTATTGTATGTTTAATCTCAATAACTAAAAAATATACTGACAATTAGTTTGACAGAATTGTCATTTATTTAAAATTTTAAAAATAATAGCAGTCGGTTGATCAAAATATGAACGGTGATTGGCGAATTTATTTTTTTTTGCAGTGTTCTCACTACCTAGAATGGATAAGAAATATATTCGTTCAATTGAAGGCAATAGCATACTTTTTCGTTTTGTAATCTGTGCATGGATATTAGCCAATCTATGCACATACTACAAAACGAAAAAGTATGTTATTGCGTTCAACTACGAATATATGAATTTCATATCCATTTTAGGTAGTGAGAACACTTTAACAAAATTAAATCTACAAATCACAGTTCATATTTTGGTCACCCAACTCCTATTATTTAATTTTTTTTAAATAAGTGACAATTCTGTTAAACTAATTGTCAATATATACATTTTAGTTATTGATATTAAATATACATTAAAATTTTTGTGTAGACTCGATAAATAATAGCATTTTTGTTTTTATTGTGTCCACATTTAAAAAAAAAAAAAATTAATCAAACTACATGATACTAATTTAATTACGAGTATTAAAACTAAAGTCCTGAAAGTTTCGGTGAAGATGAGGACAGAGCATCTGCCTTCCACGCGAAAAGCCCGGGATCGAATCTAGGCCGAGGACTAATTAATTTTTCATGTTAATTTTATTTTATAAATTAGTCAACTTCGTAAATTATTTTAAAATTAGTTATTTTGTCTAAATAACCTAAAATAATTTTTTAAATTTGTAGATTTTCGTTTGTGGGTCGTAGAAAAAATATACTGACCATATCGAGTGGATTGTTCATATCAAAATCAGACGATTGAGTACTCCGCATACGACGTCGTGCTCAAACTTCGTCTTTGTGTGATATTGCTATCATATCCACCCTTGTTGAACAAACTACTATTTATTTGTTTTCTTGGTTTAAGTTTTACATCAGAAATAGGAACTAAATTAATTTACTTTTCAATTTTTCTTGTAAAAATCGATATTACTTTCTCCAAGTACAAATTTAGTACCTACCTAAAATAAGTAATAATTATGTAATTTCGTGTAATATTGTAATTCAAATTTCACATTACTATAAAGGTTCAAAATTCCCTACTTCGGTATGGTCAGATAAAAATTGAATATATTATATTAATAAAAACTGTCAAAGTATTACTTCTACAAATCTGTATTTTAATTAATAAGAATACATCTAAATATAACCAATATTGTTAAAATAAAAGCACAAATTCTTTATAATTCCAAAATACCATAGAGTTCCCAGACCTCAGTCGAAGCATTCGTTTATTTAGGTATAAACCCTTTGCGCGAAGAGTAACACTTGCCAGACACACGGGGTACTACTTGATTTGCATCCACGAACATGACAAAATTATTTAACAATTGAAGCCCTTGGTGTAAAAAGGATCCAAGCCACAAATTGTCGTGAAGTGACTGTTTTAGCTCAAAACATTTGTTAACGAGGATTTTACTAGCCACATACAAATTATTCAACCTCTAATTCGAAAGATGTGCTATTTTTCGTAATATTTATATTTAAATAATTTTTTAATTATATTTGACAAATTTAAAACAAATTAAACATTTAATTTCCCAAAACTTACTTAATATGGGATGTAACCAACCTTATTACGCCAAGGTTTTCAATTTTTTCAATAATAAAAAAATATTTTAATCCGGGCGCGACTTTTCCCTCGAATCTAACAGAGATAGCACCATTCCGTCTTGCTTGGTTCTCGACCGCCAGATCAAAGACGCCGACACGGAGTTGTGGAGCTGTATTGTATAAGCTGTGGTTCATGTTTCATAGTATATTACAAAAAAAAACTAATATTTTTTTTTAAAAAACTATAGAAGTAAATACAAATAAACCCCTTAATAGCGTTCAGCGCGACGCGGAAGCGCCCCATGAAGGGGTTCTGACCCTTAGAACCCACCCGTGACTACGCCATTGTAAGAATACCGAGGTGAGGGAAGAAGAACCGCTTCGGGCTACAGCTACCAGCCTTACACGATACTCTTGGTGCTTTACTGCTTACGCTTACTCGAAAATGCATCAAAATGCACATACTTCTTGAATGTAGTGGGAGGACGACACCATCATCGACGATACTCACGGCACCGGCACCACGGCCCACGGCTTTTCAGTCGTTCAGTCCAGTCGTACAGTCGAGAGAGAGAGCACGTTATTAAGCGGGTTACTTTGTTGGACGAAGAATCACGGAATCTTGTTGTTATTGTTAAGTTTCCTTGGTTACCAATCAATAAGTACTGAGTGTGTTTGTGTAATCTATACCGGTGTCAAGTGCTTTTTGTGTGTTTAATTGATATGACTTTTTTAAAGGATTGAACTATTATTATTTGGACTTTCCAAAAATGTGTCCCCAATTTTTTATAGTATTACTTTTTGGACTGTGTGGAGCTTTGGAACTTAGGAACGGAGCTTACGAAGATTTGGTCATTAAAGTGTCCGACAATGTGCCGCAGAATGATTGTACTATGATTTTAAACAATATCGAGGTTAGTAATTAATGATTTAAATAAGCAAAATGTATTTTTAAATATCCATTAAAACAAATATTCTTTAAAAAAAATTAATTCGTTTGTTATTATTAATAATTTGTACAAGATATACAATAAATGGAGTAATTAGGGGTGATGGGTGGGTAAAAGAAAGTCCATAGTAATAAATAATATTAGTAAATTTAAAAGAAAGTTATTATTATTATTAGGTGTATTAGGTTTTAGATGTCGACTAGATACCTATATATAGATGTGCAGGGCCACCGAGAGCATTGGTGGGGCACCGGGGCAAAACACTGGCAAGTGCCCTCCCCCCACATATTGTAATTCTTTTTTTTAAGCTGCCCCCTCTGCGCCTCATGTGGTTTTTGGTATAATAAGACACTATTTTAGCTGTGCACTAAAAAATACAATAAACAATCAGGGCCGTCGAGAGAGGGGGGTTAGCGGAACAAATTCCCGGGTACAAGAGGGGGGAGCTTGGCAGCTATAGGTAAGAACCTTTTTTTAGATTTCACATAAAAACGGATCTGAGTTTTGGAAATGTGATATCGAAAGGGCTTAATTTTTTTATAAAATTGTCCGTGTGCCCCACCTAACTCTAGGCGGCGCTGTAAACAATACACTGAAGCAAGAGCGGCTCCAAGATGAATTTTCGGAGGGGGGGGGGCTATTGCCTTTAGATATTCCTTTTTTAACATATTTTTTTTTATTAAAAGGTTCATAAATCGTAAGAATTTTCTTCTCGGGGGGGCATGACTCCCATGTCCCTCCCCCGGAGCCGCCCTTGTACTGAAGAAGGCACTGATCAGTGCCGAAAGCTATAATTATCAACCAAAAACTACATGTCTCTTTTAAAAAACATCCTTATACAGTCGACACCTAAAAGCCAAGACTACCTTCCAAAAAGTTATGTAATAAAAGTTTGTTAGATTAAGGAAAATTATTAGAAATGAACTGCTGTATTATTAGACTGTGAATAATAGGATAGTAGACTTTTTGTGCGACTTGGTAATAGTCAAAGACGTAAAGGAAAGAAATTATGTGAAATATTTTGATTTATAAAAATTAATTTGCACAAGATATCTATATAATTAAAATATTTTCTGTTTACAATAATTATACTTACATTATTTAGTTTTTACTCTCCTATCTGTATACAGAAGGAAAATATAGAAATCATGATTTTTTCGACGGATTTTTATGTTTCGGGGTCCCCTGAACGAAATTTTTTATTATTTTCGCGATAATGCCTGTATCTATAATAGGTAATTCAAAAACGGATATATATATATATATATATATATATATATAAGAACAAAATTTTAAACTTAAGCTTTAATCGCAGCATCTGGGGGTACATTATAAAAGATCGTTTTTCTACTTTTTTGGAATAAATCTGTTATTTATGCCTGAAGAAGAATATTCTTTAAATAAAAGTTGCTATAATTTTTATCCTACCTATATACATTTCTCTAAAATGGTTCATATTCGAGAAATTTTGAAGAAAAATAGGTTGTGGTTCGAGCAGTTCGGGTCAAGATATTGAAACCAAACATGTTATATCCAGCGATCCGGAGTCATAAATCTGTCAGATTAGGAAATTTCAGGTGTGGGTGGAGAGAAAGGTTTCAGCTTAGATTATAAAAAGTAATCTGAGGGTTCAAAATCTATAAATGTGACTACAATTGTATTAAAAATATAAATAGGATAAATTGTAAGGTTTAATCGTTATATTATCATCTACTTGGAGATTACTAATGCTATGGAAAAACTAAAATGATAACAAGGGTTGGGATTATAAGATGCTTACCTACCTAAGATTTGGTATGAAGATAATTTAGGCAGTTGCAATTAAAATCTTGATCCGTTTCTACTGGTTGAATCAATAAATTTTTTATTTTAACTATTATTTAAAAAAAAATGAATATCCCATTAAACAATTTTGTCCATCCCACCTAACTGATATAGAGGAGACGTCATTTTCAAAAAAAGCTACATAGCCCAATCGGATTAGGTGAAGAACAGGCTTGAGATTCTGAAAAATTCGAAGCAGCAATTTTCCTTCGGAATTCGTTGGAGGGGGTCTGTGGTAGTCTAAATTCAAAAAGTTGGGATTCCAAAGTTGTCGTTACCTCCGCCAGCTTGATTTAAAGGGTTATTTTTTGTATCTTGAATAACTCATTTATTTTCAATTTTACACGGAAAATAGTTTTTACAAAAGTTATTTATAATTAAATTTCCTACAATTTTGCTTTTTTTTGTACGATCGATTTTTTTTTATTTATACCCGAAAAGAGGGGGTGAATTTTTGGTTATAGAATAACTCGTTTATTTTTAATTTTACGAGAAAAATTGTTATAAACAAAGTTGTTTAAAATTAAATTTCCTACAATTCTGTTTTTTTTTTGTACGCTCGATTTTTTTGTATTTATCCCTGAGAAGAGTGGGGGTAAACTCTTAGAAAAAATCGGAATCATAATTGTACCAAATAACATTTTTGAAAATCAGCAAAAAAAAAACAAACAGAAAATATAATGGTACAACATCAATAATAAACGTGATAATACAATACTTAGGTTCACCCCCACTCTTCTCAGGGATAAATACAATAAAATCGATCGTACAAAAAAAAACAGAATTGTAGGAAATTTAATTTTAAACAACTTTGTTTATAACAATTTTTCTCGTAAAACTGAAAATAAACGAGTTATTCTATAACCAAAAATTCACCCCCTATTTTCGGGTATAAATTGAAAAAAATCGATCGTACAAAAAAAAAGTAGAATTGTAGGAAATTTAATTTTAAACAACCTTGTTTATAACAATTTTTCTCGTAAAATTGAAAATAAACGAGTTATTCTATAACCAAAAATTCACCCCCTCTTTTCGGGTATAAATCGAAAAAAATCGATCGTACAAAAAAAAAGCAGAATTGTAGGAAATTTAATTTTAAACAACTTTGTTTATAACAATTTTTCTCGTAAAATTGAAAATAAACGAGTTATTCTATAACCAAAAATTCACCCCCTCTTTTCGGGTATAAATCGAAAAAAAATCGATCGTACAAAAAAAAAGCAGAATTGTAGGAAATTTAATTTTAAACAACTTTGTTTATAACAATTTTTCTCGTAAAATTGAAAATAAACGAGTTATTCTATAACCAAAAATTCACCCCCTTTTTTCGGGTATAAATCGAAAAAAATCGATTGTACAAAAAAAAAAGCAGAATTGTAGGAAATTTAATTTTAAACAACTTTTTTTATAACAATTTTTCTCGTAAAATTGAAAATAAACGAGTTATTCTATAACCAAAAATTCACCCCCTCTTTTCGGGTATAAATCGAAAAAAAATCGATCGTACAAAAAAAAAGCAGAATTGTAGGAAATTTAATTTTAAATAACTTTTGTAAAAACTATTTTCCGTGTAAAATTGAAAATAAATGAGTTATTCAAGATACAAAAAATAACCCTTTAAATCAAGATGGCGGAGGTAACGACAACTTTGGAATCCCAACTTTTTGAATTTAGACTACCAGAGACCCCCTCCAACGAATTCCGAAGGAAAATTGCTGCTTCGAATTTTTCAGAATCTAAAATACTAATCCGATTGGGCTAACAATATTTTCAATAGAACAGATGAAATCTACGATATTTTCTACATACAAACCCAAAATTTCAATTTTTTTTATACAATTTTTCCAAAAGTATTTTTTAACCTGAACTGTCATAATTCGGATGTGGAAATCTCAAATTTGTAATACTAAAGGTTCTGTATACATGTCCGGCATCCTTTCTTATTCAAACGCCCGGTATATAACAAACCAATTCCTTGTATTAGCTTCAAAACAGTGCATTACTTATTAGAATTAATTAAACTTAATCACCTGTTATACCGATCGAAATCAAATAAGTTGCAACCCCATCAAAAACTAAAAAATAATCATACGTTTTATTTTGACATATGTTATACCTTCAGTTAAGGGGTGTAACGAATCTTTAAACCTAGGTATATAATTAAAACAATTTTATGCTCGATTTTGTGGGTTGTAATTATCATTTCTTTGCATTTTATTTTGAAATAATATATTATACATTGTCTATAAATTATCTTTGTATTTATGAAGATGATATATCTATTCTCAATGCAAAATTCACATTTTTCTACTTATGACGAAGGTATTTTAACCGCAACTATTTTAAAATATATAATTATAAATCAGAGTACCTACTCGTCTGAGTTACAAGACCCTTAATTTATAGATATTTGTAACTTTTTGGAAATAAATTATATTCCTACATTTTATGTTTCTGACATTCGTTTCCACCTCCTTTCAAAGGGGTGGGATAACGAATTCCTTTTGAACCTTATGATTAAATCCGAATTACAGGTTTGAATTTTTAAATGCTAGAATTTAGTGTACAATCAAGTTGTCAGGATTAAAGATCGAAATGATTTATGTCTCTAAAACTTTAAGGTCTTAAAGTTCCTAAAATGTTTATAATCTCCAAATTAATGCTTAAGAATTTTAAGCCGTTTTATTCTAAAGGTTTAAAAACGAGGCAAATACATGTAGGTATATAATTAATGTTTCGACGATTTCACTGAACACTGTAACGAGCTTTGTATGCCAGTGATAAGAAGTTAGTGAACCCGTATGTAAATTTTATGATCAGTGAGGTTACTTTTGTTTTAACAATTGGTGTCACGCCGATAGAACAAGCATTTCATAGAATTTACATTTAAAATCATTAACTATGTGGATTCTTAATGGTTTAAACCAATTATAGGGTTTACGTTATTTTGAATATAAGATTGACAGCCAGGAGTTATTTTGAGGAAGTTGAATATAATGCTGAAAATTTGCACATTTATAATTTTAATACTGTTGTCCTAAAAACAGAAAAAATTATAAATATCGTTACATTTTGGTGTCAGAAGTAGGTTCGCCTAGCTCTAGAAAATGAAGGTTTAAATTTGGAAATGTATCTATTTT